AGCTGATGAAGTTGCTGATATGCTCCTTCATTCCATTGTGCACTAGGGTCTGCACATTCCCCTTCAGCTCCAAAAAAGCCTCCTTTGTCAGCTTTAGCTCTTGCGCCAGAGACTCACGCTCGTTTTCAGAAATCTTTCGCTTGGTCTCTTCAAAGCCGAGCTTAGTGCCCAGAAAAGCCCTCTCCTGTTCCAACTGCTTCATAGCTGGAACCACCTCATTCAGAGACACTTGCATCTCCTTATTCTTCTTCTCCAGCGCTTCCTTCTCCTTCTGCAGCTGGTCACACTGCCTCTGCAAGAGCGCGCGCTCCTTTACACCCTCCCTGAACTCCTGGGCTAGACCATACATCCAGCTCGCGCTCTGCAAATCAAAGCAGAAGTTCAAAGAACCAGAAGAGAAGAAACAGAATAAGTAAACAGCAACATAAATAAACAACAACATACCTCAAGGGCGTGCTTCACCACAGAAGCCCCTCCATACCTCAGAGCCTCCTCTCGCGCGTGGCGCTTGTCCACTTCGGGGAAGGTGTTGTTGATAAACCACCTAGCCCCCATCATGTTCTTCGCCTCGAACAGGCTGCTCTGAGACACCGCTGAGGTAACAGGACCCTTCCCCTTACCAGGAGCCCGTACCTCAGCCCCCTCCTCCAACTGTCTGAGCTCGGGGTTCAGCTCAACAGGAGGAGGCTGAGGTACGAACTCAGGCACCCCACTTACCTCCTCCTCTACCACCTTCTGCCTCTTCTCCACTGCCCTCCTCTCCTCCCAACCCTTCCTCTTCAAGGGTGGCACCTCCTCCTCCACCTCAGCTGATGCTAAGGATACCACCTCCTTCCCAACCCTCCCCTCATCCACTTGCTTGGCCGAAGTCCGTGACTTCTTCCTTGGCTTCTTGGGGATGGCCTTCCCTCCAGCAGTGCTCAAAAATTGATCCATGTCAGCTGCAAAGCAAGAAACAATGTATTAGTCACAATTCTATGTTCTACACTTAACACTACAGTATATTTCACACAAACCTTCACTCAGAGCGCTGGGCCCATAGAGCTCAGCAGCCTCTATGCATGTTGCGCTGGTGAGGTCTACAATATTCAATACATCCCCCTTCTCCCTCACCAACCTCCCCACCTCTTCCTCTTCATCCCTATTTAAACTAAACTTATTCTGGTTGGCCCTTTTGGCCTTCCAGGAGGCTAACGCCCTCACCTCGGCATCCCCTTTCCCCCACTCAGTGTCATCTACAAAAAAGAATTTTTCCTTCCATCCCTTAATGGATGAAGGACCCGCAGTAAACAAAATTCTACCCTCCTTATTAGCTACCCTTGGGGTGAAGTAATACCACCCCTTATCTCTCCTGTTACCCCCCTTTAAAACAAAAAAATACTTGAACATATTTACAGTTGGCACGCTGATCCCCTGAGCTCGGCAATAAACTAAAAAACCTATTATTACCCTCATTGCGTTGGGGACCAACTGTGTCAACCCTATGTTGTAATCTAACAGTAAACCTATCAGCAACTCAGGAAGTGGAAACCTGAGTCCCGCCACTAAATAGTGGGAATACACAGGCATCCAGTGATCCTGAGGAGCAGAGCACGCCCTCTCCTCTGCCCCAGCCAGCCTAACTAATACCCGAGAAGAGATCTCGTACGTTTCTACTAAGCGACACAGGTCATCCCTGGTCCTTAGTTCAGATCGGTACTGCTTCACTTCCTCCACTACCTCTGCATTCCAATCATAACCTCTCTCCCCATTACCCTCTACTTCTACTACGGTGATGGGTAAACTATCTACTTCAACCCTTCCTCCCTCAATTCTCCCCACCTCTACCACCTCTTCTCCCCCAACTTCCACCACCTCATCTCCTCTCACCCCCTCCACTGTTTCCTCCGAACTGGTTGGAGATGGACTACTCTCTGAGTCCATACCCCCATAGTCCAGGGGCTCCACCTCACTCTCTACTATACTCTGTGATCTTTCTGATGACATTTTTTCAAACTCTGCACCAAGAAAGGGGGAGGAATAAGTCAGGATTTAAAAAAAAAAAAAAACCACAACCCCCTTCTTTGTTGCACCTTCAAAATCCCTCTCGCCTCTAACCCTAACTTCCTCCAGAGGATTCTAAATCAACCACTAAAAAGGGAGAAAGGAGAGAAACACTTCGGTTAACTCGAAATCAGAAGTTTCGTATACAGTACCTGATTTCGGTTTCGAAAGATTTGATGTAGAGATCCCCAGTTGTTACCGCAGTTCACGAGCAAGAAAATGCACAATGAAGCTTCTCGCAGAAGTTTTGCAGGAAAAGAAATGCAGGTAAACCTTTTTCTGCAGAAAAAATGACTATTTATACTTTTGGGCGAAATTAGATCTCAATGGCTGAGATTTGTTTAATCTTACGGTCCCTGTTGACACCGTTTGGAATTCAACGGACAACCCCAAACGGTACCGTTTCGAACTTGACGGTTCGTTTTTAAATTTGCCCGTTTAACTGTCGCAATCATCTTTTTACGGCTGCATTTATTGCACACGTCATTCCAAAGACAACTGTCACACCACGTTGTCAGATTTTCCAGCCGGGCCCACTCACGCCCATTTCAACACCTTTGTTTACTTTTCTCAATTCTGTCAAGTGTTTCACTTCGGCTCTGGCCGTAGTAATGCTGCATTACATTTCACAT